CTTGCTTACCATGCCATCCTTGTTCCAGCATCTAAGGACACCTGCTACGCTTCCAGGTTTCACCCATCTGATCCCTTTTAGGCATATAAACATCCTCCATAGTTGATCTGTCCACTTGCAATGCAATTAATTACTGCTTCTGCACTGTTAAGGTAAACTATAACAGTGCAGAAGCAGTAATTAACAGAGATCAGCAAGTTGTGTATACGAAAAATTTAAGCAAAAGTAACAAGAATTGCAGATAAGAAAATAGTGCCTGGGCCAAGAGACATATCAAGGACTGCATTTGGTTTGTTCAACCTGAGTCACTGAGAAGTGCTAATGACTTGTTCCTGACCATACCCAAAAACTGAGAAGGTTGAAAATGGGAAGCTCACTCCTTTAATGGACAAATACATAGACAGCCCCTTAAAGTTGTCATCTCTTTTCATGTAGACACCTCAACTGAAGTATTCACCTATTAGACACTTCAGCCTCAGTCAATGTGTGCATATTAAGCACAGTGTGCTGATATGGCATGCTGCATTTTACCCCTTTCTGTAGTGCACTAAGGGCCTATTTGGATGAGCTTATAAAAAGTAACTTATAAGTCAAAGTTAAAAGTCATAAGTAGATGTGTTATGCACGGCAAAAGGCGACAAGGTTCTGGCGAGGCGCTCGCCTTTTTGAAGTGTGGTGCCAATTAATACGAAAATTTAAAATATTTAATTGCGTATATAAATAATCAAATCTCAATAGCAATAACAAATTAGCCAATATTTCAATTCAAAAATTGAAAATAGATAGTACATACTAAAAGTCTAGAACTTGAATGAAAAAAAAAAGAACAACAGTCAGAACACTGAGAAAAAAACAAGGTAGAAGTACTCTGAAGTCTGAAAAAGAAGAAGGAAAAAGAAACAAAGGAAGAAGAAATCTGAAGAAGAAGAAATTAGAAGAAGAAAAGAAGAAATATGTATTGATTGGACTTTGGAGTCGCCGGAGAAGTCTAGTTGAGTCGAGGTTGGAGCCGTAGTTGTAGTCTATGAGTGCAACTGAGCAAATTTAGAAAGAAATCCTAAAATTGCCTTTTGACTTTTAAAACCCTAAATTGGTCGCTTTATTTTAAGAAAATACAAAAGGTGACACCTTTGTTGCCTTTATCGCCTCTCGCCTTTGTCACCATGCCGTCACCTTTTGAAGATCGCCTCGCCACAAAGCTAATAGGCGATGAAGATTTGCCTCGCCTCACCTCTCGCCATTGGCAATGAGGCGATTGCCTTTCACAACACATGTAGATGGTACCCTACTTTCAACTTTTATCTTATTTTAAAGCTTTTTTGGCCTAAAAGTGGGAGCTTAAATGTACTTTATAGTCTTTTGAAACACCTCCAAAAAAAAAAAATACTTAAAAGTCAAAAGCACCCAAAAATAAGTTAATCCAAACGGGCACTAAATGACTTTTTAGATTCTAGGTTTCATTTTTACTTGAGGTTAGTTCTGTTTTCTGTCACCAGATTCTCATTTGAAATTTCCAAAGCACCATAGACTGCTTCGAACTGCTTCCAACTGATTAACTCCCAAGAAAGACGACATTCTTATTATTGGATTAGAATTATCATTGACACAGTTGTCATCAAAAAAAAAAAATTATCATTGACACAAAACATTACACTTTTACATCATTCTTCCTATGACCTTTAACCATAAAAGTAAAATGGAAATTTCGACCAAGTATTGACAATAATAAAATTACAAACCAATCTTCACAAAATCCTAGGTTTCTCTGGACATCTCAAGATGTCAGTTTCTGCATTTGCAACTACACAAATATGACCATTGAAAAACTCAATATTCATTCCAGACCCATCGAAACTCCATGGATTCTTCCGGTGAAAACCTTGCTAAAACCCTTTTAAGAAACCCATTGATTCACTGCTGGAAAAGATGCGGCTCTATTTCACCATTAATCATGGTGATTTCTGTTGTAACTTTAAGGGTTCTGCTATATATTGGGCTGTCTGTAATCTTTATCTTCTGCTACTCAACATGGTATGTGGGTGCTAGTTCAGATGGATGGACTACTAAATCTGAGGGGTACCAATTAAAAGAGTGGTAAAGAGGGATAAGATCCATAATGATTACTATTAATGCTGAAGTGATGAATATTCTTGGGGTTTTTTGCGCTGTACTAGAGTATTTGTCAAAGGAAATTTCCATTTCAGGGAGATTGTTCAGTGAAAGC